ATAAATTAAAATTATAATTGCATTTAAAGCCACTTGCTTCAATCAAAAGTGTTGGCGCAAATACATATTTTTCTTCTTTGCTTTTTGATTAAGTCTTTAATGTAAGCTAATAAGTTTTTTAATCGAAACTTGGTAAATAAAAGCTCTTTACTCGAGTTTCCCGGGCTCTTCATTCAACATTGAGCTACATTCGCTTGTGTAATGTAGAAGTTATTGATAATAAAGCTGAAATTTTTTATTCGCAATTTGTCTGAAGCCACCACATCCTTTGAATACTATTATTCACTTGCTCTTTGGTTAGTAAAAAAAAACATAATTTAAACATTAAAAAAAAAAAAAAGATTATATGTTACCTCTTTATTATTGTTTTCAGAATATTATGATTTTCGAATATGCTAAAAAATAATAGTATTATGTTTAGTTATTATTATAATGTATTGAAGTACAATTTAAAAATTTAGTAAAATACAGAACTGTGTAATGAAATTTTAATATCTTGAAATTTTTAGTTTTATAAAATTTATAATAGATGTTCAATTTATAAATTTATACAAAAATTAAAATTTAACATTATTATAAAAATGTTTGAATTTTTTAGAAATAAAGAAATTTGTATAAATGTTGCTTTTTAATATATCCAATTAAATTGAATTCATAATTCTTCAAATATTATTATTATTATTATTATTATTGTTATTATTATGAATTTCATAACATTAAATTTACTTTATTATAATTTTCAAATAATAGAATTCCAAACTCTTACGAGAAACATCAAACTACTATCAAAATGCAGAATTATCGTTCGATATTTTTTAAACTTTAGTTTTTAACAAAATTTTCGATAACTAATTATCTCACATTGTATTTAATTTAATCAACGCGACCATAATATTTCAGTTAAAAATTTACAAAATGCTAATGCTAATTTGAACTAACGAGCATTGTTATCACAGCTACATATTGTCCATTTATTTTATATTTGGTAATTTTTTTTTTCTTTTCTTTTTAGTTTATCTCTCTTACTCAATTTTCCACATTAATTTGACGATTCGTTATTACTCTCTCCCATGAAAAAAAAGCAAAGAACTGCTTTGCTGGAGAGACTTTGATAATCAAAGTTCTACCGTGCAAGTGCTCGGCTGATAAATTAGGTTATTCGTTTCGATTTGTTCCACATGGAGGATGTTTAGATACTCGACTCAAAGGAGAACATTCAATGATTGTCCATCTTGTTAGTTAAAAGGCGAAATTGAATGTCCAGTGACTATTTAACAGCGGATTACTACTATTTGTCATTCTCAATATGTTCAATGAGCCAATGCAAACTTTTTTCTGATGTAATTTCACGTTAATAAATGTTACGAACTCTCAAATCGACAATTTTCTACATTTAATACCGTCTGTTTGTGAGCATAAAATAAATACAGTAATTATAAGATTGTTTCACAAAGAGATAAAAGATAATAACCATTGTAATTATAACATTACGTAACAGAGATGACGGAAATGCAAGTAAATTATTTTTCTGTTATCGTGTCTGTTACTGTAAGATTATATAATTATTAAAAAGTAAGGACTTTCCATTTTTATAATGTATTCATGCTTTTTAACTAAATATAATCTTATTTATGTACAAATTTTTATTTGAGTTATTCCGTTAATAAGTGCAAAGTATATCGCACAACGGCCATAGTCTATTTTCAAGAATATCTATTATTTATTTTTTTCGATAAGCATATGAAAATAATTATATTAATAAATTTGTTTTTATTCATTAAGATTTTAGGAGTTTTATTCGATTGTTGATAAAAAATAACTATGCATTTTCTACAAAATTTCGAGGACATTACAACGAAATATTTATTGGTATAAGACATATTTCGTATATTTACTCGGGTTTATAGAAAATACACGAATGGATTAAGTATTATGTGATTTATAGTACGGTACGGTGGATTTTAAAAATTATTTGAAGCTCTTCGACTTATATAGATGAATCGAATTTTATTTTAAATTATTTAGCTGAATAGAGGTAAAGGTAATGTTTATTAAAAAAAAAATGATTGGAAAAAAGTGATTTATAAGAACTGCATATTGAAAACAAACGCGAGCGTAAATAAATAATGTATTCGCTTTATTTTTATCATTATCATTGAGAATTCATAGAATTTCTTAATGGACTATTATAATATGATCATTTAATTATATAATAAAATGTCTTAAAACACACGAGAATCGTAAATGTAATGTAAGTAGAATTAATTGGAATTTAAATGAATAAATTTAATTAAAATTACAGTTGATTATTTGAATTAGAATTATAAAGATCCAAGTATAAATGATCGTTGTGTATACTTGATATAGTAGGAAATTTGCGCTTGATTTATTATTGTATTGTAAAGCTAAGGAATGGAAAAATAAAAATAAAGTCCAATGTAATGGGCGTAATTAGTTATAAAACAAAACGAAAAATAAAAAAAAAACAAAAACAAAAAAAAAAATAAAAAAATCTACAGAAATAGAGAGAAAAGCTCCATGAAATTCGACGGTGATTATGAATTTAAATCGACCGTGCGCCGCGATGAAATGGCATCATTGGCAAACATTACTTTCCTTTAAAGCAATTGCCCCATTAACGGCAAAAACCGAGTTACCTCGAGTAGCGGCTCGCCGAGGAACTTGGAAAGCACTTTCGCCTCGGCGAGAATGATAAGTGCGGAGGTGACTCCTATCTCCCAGCGATTTCCTATCTAACGTCAATAATTGCAGTATGGGGACGAGGCTGGACGCAGACTGGGCCAGCGTGAGAAACCGTTGGAGCTTCAGGAGCAGCTGCTGCTGCAGCTTGGATACCGTGAAGCCACCCGGAGAGCTCGCCTTGGCCTTGATGCGGAGCTCCGGCACCTCGTCGCTTTTCACGTGGGTATGTTCAGCCTCGTTACTTTCCCTGCTAATGCCTCGCGCTCATTAGGCAACGGCTTACTAATTACTTGCAAGCTAATTGAGAGGCTACGGAGTCGATCGTGGGCGTCGTTAGATTGCCCCTTGGTTCTCCTCCTCACTCATCTGTCCCATCAGCAATATGCTTTCTTTAGCGAAGTCGATTTCATGTAATCGAGCGACGCATTAAGGGTGAGAGTACGTGACGTAGAGATAAATACATTTGACGATTTAAGCTTATGACTTAGGCTTAAGTACATTCAAATATTGGTTTGCCGTACGATTAGATGCGCGTTTTGATGGGATAAATAATTTATCCGTATATTTGAAAGAAAAAATGTTAATTGATAGTCCGTGGACAATAAATTGTTATTTATCTTTCTAGACATCTAAAATTTACAATAATATCATAATAACAATACGATAGTCGTAGAAATTAATATTATCGCGTAGGTAGTTGCATATAAATTCTTCTAATTGTTCCATTTATGCTATTCTAATGGGCTAATAGGAGCGATAAAGTTATAATTATGTCAAAAGTTAATAGTGAATTATCAACAATTTCCAAAAATTATCTTATTACTTTTACTTGAAATTATTTTTACTTTACTTTTACTTATTAATTTTACTTGAAACAATAGTATTTCCGATTATTTTTATAAAATATTTCCGTAAATAAGTCTACAGATGGACATTTTTTAGGGTAAATGAGCTAATAAGTTTTAATGGATGAAAGATTTAAAAAAGAATTTTTGAAATTTTACCAACAGCTTCTTTATGTTGGAAATCCGTAAATTAACGTAAAATGTTCAAAAGTTCATTATTTCAATGTTTGAATACGGAAGTTACTTTTAATTTTGATTTTTTACTCTTAATTAATGAGCAAATATTTTTGTGTATTAGAATGTGTATTAGAATTTTCAAATTAACTTACAATTATATTGATTTATTGATAATTAGTCCAAAGTTTTTTTTTTAACAAAAACTTTATAAGAATTATCTAGTGTATTCATTAGTCGAGACAATTAAAATCATCAAGTTATTTTAGGTAAAAAGAGAGAAAACATCACTATCAAATATCTAACAATTTCATCTTTTATAATGATTGAGATGTAATGTATTTTAGCCGTTGTCCTTGTTTAGTTATTATTTTATTATTCGGTTAATCTACGAGAAAACGGTGGAGAACCAAAGTAGTCGAATTGTGATAAAGCCTGTGCAGAATTTTTTACTGAATCGATATTAAGAATCGCCATTAAAGTCATAACAATACTTGAGAGATATATTTAATCGGTTCGGTCTGCAATTCGTATTTTAACAAAAACTGTCAAGCGATAAATAATCTCATAATCTCCTATAGATTTTCTTCGATTTATCAGTTGGGCTAACTTTATATGTGATATAAGCCAGGCAGTTATAACACACCTCGAGTTCCGATAAAACAGTAAATGTGCAAATAAGGAAGTCGGCCTTCTATTTAATACGTAATACCCGTAAGTCCTGGTAACGTATGAAGCAAGCGTAAGCCGAGATAAAAATTTAGTTTATCGGAGGAAAATTCGAGTAATATTTTTACAATAGTGACGTATCAAGTTTTGCTGATTTTTGTGCCGATTTTGAACGCAGGACCTGCCGCCCCATTGGATGAGCTTCGAGGCTACAGTAGATGCGGCTACGGCTTGATATTAAAAGGATTAGTTTTCCCACAGTGGAAAAAGCGACCACTGGCAGTCCTTGGCTCACGGCTCTTTCTTTATCCAGGTATGACGATAGTTTGTTTAGCGTCGCATGATGACGAGCGAATCGAAAACTGACGGGCTCGCGACTCTCACGATGTTTCATTCACATCGGCGGTAATTAGGCGGTAATAGCAGTGGCGCGCGTTCGATATGGAAAATCCCGATGCTTGCTTTCCTGATTATTCGATGACATATATCATTAAGCTTCATTATGTTACTTATAGATCGCGGCTTGAAAGATCTTCATATATTAAGCAGTTTGAGCCCTCGAGGATAAATATTTATTTTTCTATACTAAAAGTATTTTTTATATGGGTTTAATGGATTTTTTTTTTGTATCGAAAGGATTGTTAGAGCTCTATTATACACCAAACGATGATGTTTCATAATAATATTCTTTAAATCTATTAAATATTATCATTGTATTGGATTGTATCGATCGAGCATTAATAAGTAATAATATTCAATTTTTTTTTTTAATGTTAGTATTTATTGTGGCTGATATTAATCTTACTTAACTAGTACTTTTTACTGGCCATATTCTATGTTTTTTTTTTTTTTATAAATTTGCAATTTTTATTATTATCATACGATAATATCAATTATTCTTGCTCTCTCATTTCATCTCTCTCTCTCTCTCTCTCTCTCTCTATATATATATATATATATATATATATATATATTCGTTTATTGCTATATTTCAATCGAACAAGATTTTACCATCTGGAAATCAAGGGGATATAATTTAACAGCAATGTAGATCCATCGATTTCTTTAATCGCAAACATTCTAAGACCCTTAAATTACAAGCAATGAAAACGAAAAATAAGCTTTTAATATCATCATTCGTTGCGATAATATATTTTTAATGACTCGGGCAAAGTTACGAGCCATCAAATTTAAAGCGCTGGATAATAAAACGAAGCCAAGATATCGTTAAACAAGGCTAACATTATGCTACAATAAAATCGATTATTAGTCGTATTTGTTAAACGCGTGCCCGTAAAAATTGATGTCCGTAAAACAGGTATCGCCGTCCTTTCAGGACTTCCTCCGTATCGTCTTGAAAGCTCATTTAAAGTGTCTCTTGTCTTTCACGGGCACGAAGCAAGCCACCGAGCGCGAAATATCCTTCCTCCGCCTGAATTAAAGAGACGATTCGTTTTTCCAGGGTTAAGTTTCGCGCTGACGCGAACCGAGTACCCACCCTTCTCCACCCCTCCCCGCCATCCAAGAATTTAATTAAATGCCAAATGGTGCGCTTTGTATCGCCGCTTTTTAAAACAGTTCGGTAGAGCCAGGGATGTAGGGTGGGAGAGACATTGCGTTGGAATATGGATGGGAGAGCGAGCACCGGGAGACGGAGGCGAATTAATGGAAAATTCGCGATCCGCGCGCTAACTATCAGTTATCACGAGTTCTACCTTCAGCTTGCGCCGAGGCTCTACCCGAGTGGCTGGAGCTCGCCGATGGGGGTTCGGTCGGCTGCGCACCCTCGCGCCTAGGGAAGCTCGTTCTCAGGGTGACCGGCCATCCCAGGATCACGCAGCGCCAGAGGGCCGAGGAGCAGCGGGGCCGCGAGCTCCGACATCTCTACCTTGGCTTCCAGCACTCCTGGGATCGAGACTTGTGGCGTCGCTGGCTCAAGCAGGTAAGGAAGACTTGACAGCCACGAAACCTTGGACCATCCTTTATCCCTTGTCATTATTTCCAGGGACTTTTCGCATTTCGAACTTAATTCACTAGTGTATTATCATTGGCTCCAATTGACGTTTTACGTTACTAATTATGACCTAAGTGGCACGAGTCTTATGACCTTCTTCATAAGTCATCGCGTGCTGCGATAATTTTTTCATATTCGGCACTTGGAATAGTTTAATGCATCGAAGACTCCCGTTTAGTACTAAAAATTTGTATTTTCTATTTGAATGTCGTGATATCTGGAAAGAGGCGCTGTTTAATCAATCTCGATTAACTCTTTTATCCGTATGCGTAATAAAATGCGTTTTAGCCGATGATCGATGTAACTAAAAAATATACAAATATAAGCTTTATTTTTTTAAATTTGCAAATATTTTTCTAAAATAAATGATACGCGTGAGATGTAATTTTTTTTATTTTTTTTTTTTTTTTTTTACAGCAAAATCTTCCGATAGCTCAAACAAATAATACGAAGATATAGCAAAGCGTATTTTTCATTTGATCTGTAATAAATTTAAACTCGTTTGAAATGTATAAGAGTCAAGTCATATTAATTGCTTACAAAAACAAATAAAAATAAAAAAAATACATGCTGTTTATGATACTATATAATGTAATTTTCTATTTTTAATGATTAGCTTAATTTAAACAAATACACTGGTTAAAATAAACAATTCATAATGGATATTATGCAAATAATTTCTGTTGATAAGGCATACACTTAAATTATAATAACTGAATAAAACAGTTTTATTTGTATAAAACATAAAATATTACGTAAATATATGAATGTACATGTATGCTATTGGGACTGTACTACTACATGTATAGTATCTTCGGTAATTTAAAATCATAATACGGTTGTTTTGAAAATGTTATTAAACTTTTTTTTTTTTTTTTTTTTTTTTTTTTTTTATTTTTTTAAATTTTTTTTTTTTTTTTTTTTTTTTTTTTTATTAAATTCCTCGTCTATGCTTTACTGTACAGCAATAAAAATGAAAAAAAAACATGTACGAGATCTTTTGTTTTTGACTTAAATATGTACGGTAGTAATTATGATAAGAAGCTGTGGATTACATTACAACATAAACAAAAGCTCTTAGTACGATTTTTTAGGTTAAGTTTTTAAATATTTATTTTTTTCGTTTTTTTTTGTTGTTGTAGTCGTCTGCTTAAGAGATGCTGCCACGGTCGTTACTGTCTAACTATCCTTGTTATCTTATATTTAATCAAACAACTTTAAAATTATATAATCATTTATATTTTGTAACATGTCGGGAAATAAAATTTCATCCATTTAAAGGAAATATTGTCGTATTTCAGGGAAATATAAGGATCGGATAAAAAATTTTAAATAATAAATATATACGATTAAAGTTTAATCATCCTGATATAAAAATCAAGAAAAATTTATAATAGGCAGTTATATTTTAATAGGCCCACGACTTTAACAAGTCCAATAAAGAAGTTTTATATAAAATTGATAGGAATATTTCGTCTCTTGTACATGTGTGCTATAAAGATATGAGAAGTACTTAGAGTTGTAAAGTGGGATAGATTGGAAACTCGCATTTTCTATGTTTTCCAAAAGTTTTCCGCTTAAAGCACACCTAGAGAATGTAAAATAATTTCTCTGTGAATTATCAAATAAATGGAAGCTCCTTAAGATCCCGATGAAATTTAAAAGTCAGAATTATCATTGCTTCATATTCCATTAAATCTTCTTGGATGTCAATCGAGCGCGGCCTCGATTTAATTAACGGTAGGCTGCACTGTAATTCGAGAAAATAAAAGCATAGAAGATAAAAAGCGAGAGCGGCACTAATAATATTTGATGTCTCCGTTATCATCGGCAGTCACGCGAATATTCCCATCGTCTAGATCGTGTTTAGCTGCGCTCACGAGTCGTTGGGCCCACGTGAAATTTCGGCAACTTTCGCAGAGAGAAAGTCTTATCTAAATTTTGGTGAAAAACATCGAGCGGAGAACATCCGTTGAAAGATATCTTTTGATGCTTTTGGGGGCCGAGACCTGCTCTCCTATCGTTGGGATTGCGTATGAGGTCGTGAATGAAAGGGAATGAGCCGAGGAGGCAGTGAGTGCGAGAGCGGAAGAGCCAGGAGAAAAAAAAGAGGCGTACATCCAATCTGGGAAAGGCTTGGATCTGCACTTACCTGATCGTGTATCTTCCTTGTCTATTATACGTATATTCATATATATATATATATATATATGTATATGTCGGTTTCCATAATCCCGCCCTCCCGCCCCCCTCCTTCCAACGAGATCTTTTAAATTGATATTGGATATGAATTTCTTGAGGACTCATATTGCCTCCTCGTTTGCATAAAAGGGCCATCCTTTTCTTTTCACTCTCTCTCTCTCTCTCTCTCTCTCTCTCTCTCACTCGTCTATCATTCTATATCTTAAAGTTTTGGCGCCCCTCTTCTTATTTTTTCTACATCTTCGCTTGCTGGCAGCTTCGTAAGAATTAATCAAATAGTTTCGAGCGAACGTTCGGTGTCCGTTAAATTCATTGCCCGTTTTTAAATTAATGGCCTCGCTCACGAAACCATAGTCTGAAAAGGATGGAAAGAGCCGCCACCACTACGAAGATTTAAAAGACTCTTTGGCTCGGCTTCGCGTGATTCTGTAAGCGAGTATCATAATTGGCTTCCCAGCCACCAGGAGTGCGTGTCGCGCACTTTTAGACGCAGCAGTGCGTGATTACGAAGCCCTTGCGCGGCAAATTCGCGAAACTTCAATTATTTTTCCAGTCCACTGCTCTTTCTTTCTTTCTTTATTATTTTCCTTTCTTCACTTCTCACTGCGATGCAAGTTTTCTCTGATCTTTTGTATCCTTTGCTCAGTGATGTTTGATTGAAAACTGCGCAGTGTATTATGAATTTCCAGATCATTTTTACACTCATTATTACGAGTTCGTCGAACGGTGTTCAAAGAAGTTGACAAAAGTTTTTTACATTTCTATTTTATTTTCAATTAGACAATTATTTACTTGCATTCTCTATCAAAGATTCAAAGATTTTTAGTTTATGAAAAAATATTGACAGATACATTTTTTTTATAGCTATGATGATTCTTTTCTTAAGAATCAAACAACATCTGATTAAATCAAAAATTTTTTGTATATTAAACTAACGTGATGTTTTATAGAGAATTATGCCATAAAAATAGTAGTCTGTTTGCTTTAAAAAAAAAAAAAAAAAAAAAAAACTTTAAATACAGAATTTTTATTGTAAAATAAAATACTGTGAATAATTTGTGTCCCCATGATGTTTATAACAGTCTGAAATTTTATCATAAATTTAATTATATTTTTGTTTCACATTTTATCTATAAAAAGTAATTTTTTTGCGAACAAAAAAACATTAATGACAAACATGACGTAGTGAACATGCAACCAATAATGCAAATATTTGTTACATACCAATGTTACATAATAAAAATCGACATTTGACGGAATTTTAATGTTTATAAAACCTCCGTAATGTTTTCGGAATCTTAAATATAATTAGAATTTTCAGAAGATTGTTTCCTTTAATTATAAACGATATTAATTAACACAGAAAAAGCATTGAATAAGTTATTGTTCACTCTGCACAATTTGCCGTTCCTTCGTACAACTAAACATAAATTACAATAATAGAATAATATTTAATAGTAATGTATATTATTATGAACTATTTTACAGTAAATCTGTGTAAATGCACTAGTCATTGTTACGGAAATTTTGTATAAAGCTTCCAAGAATTTCAAGATTTCCTTTGTATTTGAACTACATATACACGTCAGTCTATAATACCGCTTTGTAGTAGAAAAGGATGCTAGTCGGGGTAAATATAACTATATATATGTGATAGGAGGAAGTTGCTCGTTAGGATCGATTCGTTGCCTTATATTCCTGTATTTGCTGAGGTTCACATAAGTCTAATGGGATTTTCATCTTGCGCTAGGCAATATAGTTTCGATACATCATTAGTAATTTCGATTACACAGTACATTTGTTTATAAACTTAAACATGTTCTTCTACTGACTAGATGGATAATTATTTTTTCTCTTTTCGTTAAATTTTTATTTTTACTTAAAAATAGTACAATACGATAACATTATTTATTTTACATTGTTCAATAGTATTTAAGTAATACGTACAATGAAAGAGACCTTTTTCTTGTATTCGTTTAATAAACTTTTGTCATCTATATTTATATATGTACATATTGATCTATCTATGTATATACTTTTCCATCTCCATTTTTTCCAATTGACTTCTTTTCATTGCTTCTCTTCTTAGCCATTTACTTAAGCCATTTAGTCCAGTTATCATCATATCCTAGTCAACTCAGATATATATTCATAAATAATCGAGTAGTTTCTCTAGATAATTATAGATTGTGATTAATGTGTATAAAGTCATATCCTTGTTTTTTTCGAAAATATTTATATTTTATAAGTCGATTGATCGTATAGAAAAATTAAAAAAATTTTTTTGTTTTGTTTTGTTTTGTTTTGTTTATAGCTATATCTTATTTATGAAAATCCATATGTTTAATTATGTTTAATTATGAACATGTTCATTTAATAATTAAACTTAATATACTACATTGTATTTCGTGATAATTCCAAGTCACTTTTAATTTCCTTACTTTATTTTCTTCACAAAAATTTTATAATTACAATTTTATGCATTTAAAATATAATTAGAAATCTACATCTTATCTTTATTAATGTTTCTATTATTAGTTTAATGAAAGTAGATTTCATATTGTTTATATTTCTATTGAATTATATTTATGCACAATATCATTTCTACATTAAAAATGCATTAACTATTTAATGTAATTATTTATTAAGTAATAGTGTAATGATTTAGAGTAATTTATGTAAAAGTAATAGATAATACATTCTAGTAGTGATAGTAGGAAAATTGT